CTTAATAGTCTTGTGTAGCCACAGAGATGCACTGTTCAGACCTCTTCAAAACAGAACCTACCACAAGGAGTGCGAAGAGCCAACAACCTCAGTACCAAGTGCCTCCCAGATCCACTGCAACATTTAGGCAGAGGCCCCCACACTCTTCAAGGCAGCTTCCAGTCAATAACTCAACATGGCAGGGGCATCCAGGCTTAGCCACTTCTGCCCAACATGCCCGTCTTCTACCACAATCCATGCTGGAGCTCCCCATTGGCTGAGATTTTCCCAGAGCTGCAGTTAGAGGGTCCTGCCAGCCAATCCCCCTTCCTCTTCCTTCTGCCTCATTTGACAGGTGTCAAAGTTGCATCTAAGCTTGAGAGTCTTAAGACTTTCCATTTGTACTTCTGCTCCCCCTTTTATCCATCTTCCCCAGGTATTAACCCCTCTTGCACTTCTAACTTCTTCTTGGTGCCTGTTTCCTGGAACATCCAAACGCATCAGCCTCCTCAGGGTCCTTCCAGCTTGACTGCTCCCTGGTCCCCAGCAATAACCATATGTCTTAGGTTTTTGTTATGGTAGAACCCCATCTCCAGGTACCAAATCTGTTCTGATTGCTATTGCTACCAAAAGAAAAATTGCTCCCCTCCCTGTGTCCATGTGCCAGATATAGGTGATGGGGAGGAAGGTAGCACATCACGCTGCCATGTGTGTACCTATGCAACAATTTTGCATGTCCTTCACATATGCCCCAAAACCTAAAATGCAATAAATAAATAATATATGCTGAGAGCAAAAAAAAAAAAAAAAAGAAAAATTGCTCCCAAAATTTAGTAGATTAAAACCATTGTATTTTGCCCACAATTTTGTGGGTTCGATTTTGGGAAGGCTCGGCAGTACAGCTTTCATTTGGGGTCTCTCCTGCTGTTGCAGCCAGATATTGACTAGAATTGCAGGAATCTAAAAGCTTGTCTGGACTGAACATCAAATATGGCAGACCTGTCTGTCTGGAAGTTGATGCGGTAGCCAGGAACGCTGCTGAGGCTGTGATTGGAATGGCCATGTGTGACATTTCCAGCATGGCAGTCCCAGAGTGGTTGAACTTCTTACATGGCTGCTGGATTCACCCAGAGCAAGTGTCCCAAGAGAACCATGCAGAACTGGTATGGCCATGACAGCCACCTAGTGGCATGGCCCTGACAGCCACCTAGTGGCATGGCCGTGACAGCCATCAAGTGGCATGGCCGTGACAGCCATTGAGTGCTATGGCCGTGACAGCCATCGAGTGCTATGGCCGTGACAGCCATTGAGTGCTATGGCCGTGACAGCCATCGAGTGCTATGGCTGTGACAGCCATCCAGTGGCATGGCCGTGACAGCCATCTAGTGGTATGGCCACGACAGCCATATGGCATCATTTCCATAGGTAAGAACAAGTTTAGCCCAGATTCAAAATAAGAGGGTAGAGACTCCACCTCTTGACGGAAGGAGTGTCCAATAATTTGCAGATGTTTTCAGACTTTTACAGTGACAAATAAGACAAGAGTAGCAGCCAACACTTAGTCCCATATATGGCCACTTAAAAGCCCTGTGGAACCAGCCAGCCACCTGGTGGCAAGTTGATTACACAAGAACAATTCTATGACAGAAGAGACAGACTCTTATTTTCACTGGAAAACGCACTTATTCTAAACATAAATCTGCCTTCCTTCCCTATAATGCTTCTGCCAAAACCACCATCTGTGGACTTACCTAATAAATGCCATATTCACTGTCATATATTCAGCGTCAATTCTAACCAAGCAACACAATTTCCAGCAAATGAAGCATGCCAAAAAATGATGCTATAGGATTCAATGAACTTACCTGGAGCAGTTGGCCTGATAGAACAATGAAGTGGCCTTTTGAAGGTTTAATTAAAGTGCCAGCAGGTGATATAATGCTTTTTGTGGATGAGGTAATGTTCTTTGGAATATAATATATAATCTGGATCCCCATCTAATATATGGTGCTGTTTCACCCATAGCCAAGATGCACAGATCTGGAATCAAGGGATGGGAATGAGGGTGGCCTGCTCACTACTACCTCTACTAATTAATTTGACAACATTTTACTTCCTGCTTCTGGAACCTGGGGCTCTGCTGGTTTAGTGGGATTGGTTCCAAAGGAAAGAGCACTTTCATCAGAAAACACAACAAAGCTGCCTTCTAATTGCAAGTGGAGACCAATCTGGCCATGTTGGGGTCTTTGTGCTGGTGAACTAATAGGCAAAGAAGGGCAGGCTGGGTGATTTCACCATCACAAGAAAATGAATAGCTACTGCTCACAGGGGAGTAGAAGAGAAAAGACGAGGGAGGAATTTAACTGAAATGCAGGTAATTCTCAGGGCATCTTTTTAGTACCTCCAGTTTTGTGATAACAATAAATGGGAAACTAAATAACCCGATAAAGATAGGACTGCCAATGGCACAGAATGTGCAGGAATGAAGGTTGGATTGCCCCATAAGGCCAGGAATTACCCTGTGGACGTGCTTATTGAAGGAAAAATAGCAAGAAATAGGCAGTGGAAGGATAAGGCTATAAATATCAGTTACCAGCTGCAGCCACATGATTAGCTTCAAAACCAAGATCTATAGTAGAGATGGTATTTCTTTCTTGCTTTGGTATGAATATGTATGTGTATAAGCACACATATCCATATGTAAAAATCTGTCTAGTTTCTGGAACACTCTTCCCCCAGATATCCTCCTGGTTTACTACTTTACAGCTGGATCTCCCTGGGGAAGAACCCTGCTATACTGCCAAAATTTTATTCCGTAAATCTTCCCTCTAGCTTTCTGCAAAAAGGCCCACATTTACCAGGGTGGCTGTGCACGGAGAGGAAAGAAACACCCAGACATTTCAGGGATTACTGGACATTGGCTCTGAACCAATGGTAATTCCGGGAGACCCAAAACAACACCACATGGGTTCCACAGTTAGAGTGGACCACATATTTACACCCACATATGAATTTGTCTATATACCTAAATTTCCTTCACTTTGTTTCTTTTTTTCCATTCTAAAGTAAGATGCATTCATCACTGTATATCTCAATATTTAAATCATAGGATATAAAAATGAGAGCGTGACTCCTCTATAAAGAAATAACCGTCAGTCACGGATGAAAAAGGTCACATGGAGGACTCTGTGTATCTTTTTTGGGAGAGGGATAATGTCCTCATCTGCTTGGACTGCCACAAGAAAATACCATAGAATGGGTGCTTAAAACAACAGAAATTTAGTTCTTCCAGCTCTGGAAACCAGGAATTCAAGACCAAGGCGTCTGCCGATTCTCCTCCTGACTTAGTGTCATGTCCTCAGATGGCTGAGAGAGACAGCGCTGTCTGGTGTCTCTTTCTCTTAAGAACACAAATCCCATCATGAGGAACCAACCCTCATGATATTATTTAATCTTAATTAGCTCCCAAAATCCCACCTCCAAATACCATCACACTGGGGGTTAGGGCTTCCGCATATGGATTTTGTGAGTACACAATTATTCAGTCCATAACAGATAGCACAGTTTGGGTTGTTTAAGGCATAATTGTATTAGTTTGGTCAAAAGTGTAATTTTGCTTTCTCTTTATGTGGAAGTTAAATATAGTCCTGACAAATGTATATGGTTTCCAAGTTGGTGGAGTTTCAGTTCTGTTGGATTATGATATGTCAAGTTGGCTAAGGCTGGGAACTGTTTTCCAGAATTTCCTTCACTATGTGGTTCCCAGGTAGAGTTGACCACATGAGGAACCTGCCTGAGGTTTGGGAAGCAGAACTGAAGAAAGGTGTTATACTCAGTCATCATCATCAGTCACAGTGATGGACAGATGCAGAAGAACTCAGACCGCCTCAGCGGATCCTTGATCTCTACCACTCTGTGTCCATCCCATCTTTCTTACCACAGGCCTGCTGACGAAGGCTGGCTCCAAGTCCACCCACCAGGATCTTGGTCATGGACCAGAGGAGTAGTGGATAAACAGAGGCAACATTCTCAGCAGCAAAGTAATTTCCGTAGACCTCTCCACAGGCTCCCAGCCACAGTCCTACTTCAGCTTCTCAGACTGTGCGAGTTCTGAATTGCCTACCTGCACCAATGCTTCTTCCAATTCTCCACCTCTCCCTTCTAGAGCTTCACTTCCCAGCTCTTCCCAATTTGTGTCCAATTGCATTCCCATAACCAATCCCTGGTTCTCATCTTATTTTTCTAACTGATGCATTTTGGTTATCTGCTAAACATTAAGAGAGTCTTCCGTTGGAAGCCTGTTTAATAGAGAAAGGCCCTGTCTGAAAAAGCACACATTACCCTTGATCCCCTCACTCTGACTCTCCTTCACAGCTCTGACCACCACCTGAAATAGTCTGTGTGTATGCATTTGTCTGCTTTGTTACTACTAAATCCCTGATGAACACAGAGGTTGCTAGCACTCAATAGTTGCTCAATAAGGATTTGTTGAATGAATATTTGGGGAAACTGATTTAAATGCTACTACAGCATGATCAGTGTAACAGTAATTTTTCCTACAGTATGTGAAATATTGAATTCATAATGTTCTAGATAAAGAACCCGTAAGATATTTAAAAAGTAAAGAAGGAAGTAGAGGAGGTAGAGTAGAATGGGGAGAAAAAAGGTAAAGAAAGAGAATAAGAGGGAAAAAGTAATTGAGAAGGGAGGGGAAGAAGGAGCAGGAAAGAGGAGAGAGAGGAGAAAGGGAAGGAGGAGAGAGAGGAGGCTCTCTAGGGTTGACATTGTACTAAGTGCTTTTCTGCAGTTTATCTTGAGACAAACCTGTGAGGCAAGTGTTATCATTCCCAAATTATACATGAAGCCACTAAGGCTTAGAGAATTAAAGGACTTGCTGAAGGTCTTTACAAAGTGATTGAGCTGGAATCCAAATACAGGGTGCCTGATTTCAAAACTCATATTCTTGCCATTATATCGTGCCACCAGAGAAAGCAGACACATCATGAGAAGGAAAATGGAAATGCTGTTGAAAATTGTATTAAAGTATTCCAATTGGATCTGAAATTACAGTGTTAACTTCTAAGCTTGACCAATTTGCTGAAGTACCAATTTAATACTCAGTCCTTTTATCTACAACTTAATCTACAGTTCTGGGATTTATAATCAATGTTTTATGCAATAGTTCTATGATCTTACTAAACATTTTCAATACCAACCCTTTATTATAGGTAAATGATGAGTTATAGCATTTAACCCATCATTATAAAATGTAGAACATACATTTTAATCTGAAGCTAGCTTAAGGATATTACTATGCAAAGTAAGAGTCAAAACACTGGAGTAGCAATATTGACAAATAACTGTTTATCCCAGGAATAATATGCATACAGTTTCTACACCAACCAAAGTTGGACCTGGTAAGTCTCAGCCAATGACAACATAACCAGATGTTTCAAATCAGCGGAGGCACGTCAGGGTTGTCTTCAAAGGTTGGGTCTTCCTCATTTGGTATAATTTTGGGTTCAGATTGTCTTCTGGGTGTGCGTTTTTTCTCTTGAACAATGTTAGTCACATCAGGGAATGAGTGCTTGCTAGGGTCTACTTCTAATTTCTCCATGTGCTTGCTTCTACAACAGCAAAAAAAAAGGCAAATAGAAACTGATAATACATCATTTAAAATTTCAAATAGATTTAACTCATCCATCCATTTATCCAGCAAACATGGGCAAGTAATATCCCTGGAGCATAAAAATTTAAAAAAATAAAAGAGAGAATATCCCTAGGGTCAAGAAGCTTAGATTCTTGTAGAATCAAGATTCTGACCTGTAGAGCACAGAAATGCTAAAATAAATAAATAAATTAATAATAAGGCCACTGGGCTGTGCTAATTCACAGGCAATTGGAGATGACGTCACCTGTGAAACTCTGCCTCCCTAAGAATTTATATTTGAGAACTAAAATGATACGGCAGGGAAAGCCCTACAGCCAAGATCAATAACTGAATCCTTCCAGGCATATCTTATTCCTGAATGCAGTTCATCAGGCTTCTGGACCCTCCTGCTTCAGACAATCTAACTTGTAGGGGCTTGGCTGGAAGGGGCATCTACATGACAAGTTCAGGTGCATAGCAAAGTTCAGCCCCACCAACCTCTCCTCCCACAAGAACCTGCGCCTTCTGCACTCATTCAGTTCTCTCAGCAATAGCAAGAGTGAAACAGAACAAGGGAGCACCTCAGTTGGCCAATGTTCCCAATATCATGGTCAGATAAAAAAAACTGTAGATAAGTCAGGTCTCTGGGTTGCATTTCCCACAACTTTGATTCAGGAAGTCTGGAGTTGGGCCCAGTAACCTGTATTTTTATAAAGTTCCCCCAAATGATTTTAATAATCAGTCAAATTGTTTTGGAATCACTGTACCATTGATTCAAATATTCATTAAACAGACATATGTTAAATATCTATGATATTCCAGGTGCTGTATAGGCACCAGGGAAGCCATGGTCTATGCAAATAGACAAGGTTCCTGGTAATATCTAATAACACAGCTCAAACATAGAATTTATGACTCTGTCATGCACCTGTTTCCCTATTTGACTGTTTTCATACAATACTGATATCGTTGAAACAAAGATTTTGTCTTTTTCATCTTTTATCCTAGGCATATGGCTATATTGAATAAATATTGTTGAATAAGTGAAAAAATATTATTTTTCTACTGGGGAAATAATGAAATTGTATGAGAAATTATCCCTGACCTAAAGAAAATCACAGTCTAATCCAGGAGCTCTGAACTGATGTCCTCAGACTAAATTCATTCAGTGAACACCCTTTGTCAGGGGAGAAAGGTTCCATTTTCTTTTGAAAGTGTCAACTCTCCATTGTCCTTGTAAGCATTTCCCTTCATTTCTGTAATCTGCCTAGCCCTTGAATGCATTTGAGTGTTTGATCTCTCACACTATTTTGACTGATACACATGGATCTGCTGAAGAAAAAATACAACATACACAAAGAATATAAAATAGTATATTCAGGGCCGGGCACGGTGGCTCATGCCTGTAATCCCAGCACTTTGGAAGGCTGAGGTGGACGGATCACCTGAGGTCAGGAGTTCGAGACCAGCCTGACCAACATAGAGAAACTTTGTCTCTACTAAAAATACAAAATTAGCTGGGCGTGTTGGCACATGGCTGTAATCCCAGCTTCTCGGGAGGCTGAGGCAGGAGAATTGCTTGAACCTAGGAGGTAGAGGTTGCAGTGAGCCAAGATTACACTATTGCACTCCAGCCTGGGCAACAAGAGTGAAACTCCATCTCAAAAAAATATAAATAAAATAAAATAAAATAAAATAGTATATTCAGAAGCCCAAACAGCATACTATTAACTCCATATGCCATGGGAAGAAGAAATGGAAAGGGGCCTGTGCATCCTCTGAAGGGGTGAAAGAGGTGGGAATCCAAAGATGCCCTGAAAGATGCTAAGGAATGTGGGTAAGCAGTAAAAGGGGAGTCAGTGCTCCAGATAAATGAATGGCGCCACGGCCATGTCCTGAGCACACCTTCCTCTCAGATGCCGTGGTGCCACAGTATTCACTGAACCATCTGCCTTTAAAAGAACAGAGTTTTGTGGCTTCAGCTATGATGCTGCTTATTCTTTTCTGCATAGTCAGTCACCATAAGGTTGGTGGCTGACGGTGCAGAAAACAGTGAACATGGCAGGCCAGTGATGACTGTCTTTAAAAGGTAGGCCTGCAAGTTTGGGCACTGGCTGGTAAACTGTTCCCTACAGCCACATGAAACTTTCCGTAACAATAAGGGTAGCTCACTATGCCTAGCAATGTGTACAGTCAACTTGGTTTATGCTTTCCTTCTGGAACTGCATAATTTTGGCACCTGCTAGGGAGGGGGTGCCTACCAGAACCCAACAAAACCCTGAGCAGGTTCAGAGATTCAATGAGCTTCCGTGATGGAAAAGATTTCACATGTGTTGTTACAACTCATTACAGAAGGAATTAAGCATGTCTTGTGTGACTCCACAGGGAGAAGACTCTTAGAAGCTTGCACCTGGCTTTCTCTGGACTTAGCCTTTTGCTGATTTTGCCTCCTGTTCTTTTGCTGCAATAAATCTTAGCCATGAGCATGACTAAATGCTGAGTCCTGTAAGTTCTTCTAATTAATCTCTGAACCTGGGGTCATCCTGGGGACCCTTGACACACTGCCTTTCGTTGAGTCCCATGCTAAGGCTTTACTTATGTCATCAAATCCTCAGACCCAGTGGGAAGAAAAGAGGAATAGTCAACGAAGGTCCCATAAATAAACACAGGCAGAACCAGCTGGAAACTGAATCCAAATATCTGGTATTAACATCACCTATACTGTTCCTCATAGAAAATGATGTACTATATACAGCACAGAGGGGTTTTCTATTCTTGACATTTGGGATGTAAGATTATATACCTCAAAACAAACAATTCTCCAGGTCAGCATGAATATTGAAACCAATTGTGTTATGACACAGTAAACCCACAACCTGTTAGGCCCTCTTTCACCTCATTTATTTCTTGGTAATCAAGAAACGAAGTTTGTTACTGAAAGTCTAAAGGCCGTAGAGCATCTAGGGTAGCTTGCATGACCCTGGCTCCTACCCACTAAGCTGTGTGCCCCTGTGAGTTACTTAGCCACTTTATGCCTCAAATACCTCACCTTTAAAATAGGGATGATGACAATGAACACAGGGCTGTTGTCAAGATCAAATGAGTTCATCCACATAAAGGACATAGAAAAGTGCTAGAAACAGAGCAGGCATTCTGAAGGGGCCAGTGCTATGCAGGAGACGCGTGGCATCAGTCAGTACGTACTAGGATATCGGTATGGTTATGCAAGTCAGTATGCTTTTAAGCACACATCTTTTAGGTGCCCAGTGCCATAATCAGTGCTAGGAATTTAAAGAGGGGTAAGACATGGCATGTGCCCATAATCAAATGAGAAGCACACACACATACTTGGCTATTTTGCACCAGTGTGGCAAGGGCTCTGCACATAGGATAAACAAGCCAGGTTGATGCACACGGAGACAACCATCACCAAGGCCTGGAAGGAATTACAAATAGGATTCATAGAGTAAGGAACTTGGCACTTGGCACCTGGCACTGGGGGCAGGGTAGGGTGATATTTTCCAAGATTTTGAGGAGGAAGAGCATTCCAAAGAGATAACACTGACAAAAGGTAAGAAAACATTTGTTCAGCTTATTCTTAGCCTAATTATCATCAGAGAGTGAGGTACGCAAGGTGTGGATGGGGGAAAAGTGGGAGTGTCTGGCCTGGTCCAGTTAGGGTAGGGCCTGAGTAAGCAAGGGAAGCCTGGATGGATGGGTAAGGTGTTCGGTTGAGGAGGCTGCCTGGAAAGTGTTTAAAATAGGACGCTAAAAGTCTTTGGCTCTGTGGCAAGTGCCATGACTCTTGGGAACTGAGGCACCTCACTCCATCACATTTTTTTCACTTTTAGATACTCAAGCAGTAGGCAGTGTGTTCATTTTTAGAAAAGTTAGAGTCCGATTTTTTTGTTAAGTAAGGGAATGATGCTTAACAACCTATTAATTATATTTAGTGTGATGTAAATGTAGTTAGGAAACAGAACACCGACACTATTCCTTGGTACTGCCCTGCTAAGTTTCCAGTTTTTCTTTAATTGCTATTTGTCACAAATAAGATAATTTACCTTCTTTCTCATTGGTTGCTCACAATTCACGTACTTGTTCATTCCACAACTTACTTACTGAGTACCTACCATGCACCCAGGTTTGTGTGTGTCCTAGAGACTGAAAATGAAAAGCCATCTTCCCATCCTCAACCTCACTCTAAGTAGATAAAACAGCATTATTTTTATTAGCAAAAAGAGATGTTATATAATCATTATTATACTTAAAGAAGCTATATGATGTGTGCCCAAGTGAGGCAATTTGAATGACTACATCGCCCCCATTGTGTTGGTGAACTGAAAGGGGCATGTTGCTGTTTTCAAAAGTCTCTCAATATAAGTTGAACATTCCTAATCTCAAATTCCAAAATCCAAAATGCCTCAAAAATCTCAATCTTTTTGAGCACTGACATAATGCTCAAAAAAAAATGCTCACTAGAGCATTTCAGATTTTCCAGTTAGGAATGTTCAACTGCTATCATGCGAATATTCCACAATTCGAAAAATTCCAGAATCAAAAACAATTCCGGTTCCAAGAATTTTGGATAAGGGATACTCAACCTGTATGTTCACAGTCTGATCTGATGTTCACACCATCAATGAGGCCCCCTATTCCTTCCCCACCTCACTGATGCAGATGTGGCAGAAGAGAGAGGGGCAGGGGTTCATTAGAGGCTGAAGCTGAGGGTCACGCTCAGGATTGGGGCAAGCACAGATATTTCATGTATTATGTGGTGATTTTCATAACTTTTTAAGCCTTTTTATTGAGTGCAATACTTGTATAGAAAAGTGCCCAAATCATAAAACTTTCATTAATTGAATGCACCATGGATTAAGAAGCAGAACATTATCAGCACTCTAGGAGCTCCTACTGTGTCCTTCCAGCCATGATATCCACACTGAAACCAAGATCCTGACTACTAACAGCTTAGAA